AATTTCTTTGCAAGGCAATTTAACTCTAGAAATTTAACTTCTTTCAAAACCAGTATGACATCTTACCTCAGCATCCATCGTTGACGTCATCATTGTTTACGTTGGTGATCGAAGATCGGCAATCATCGGAACGGTGCATCCGAAAGTTAATAAGCCGCCATTGTTATGAAAAAACTCGTACCGAGATGGAATTGTTTTCTGATTTTCATGCCATGNAGTACTGTCAGCCTCCATATGCAGACTTATGGAATAGTACAGTACTGTCAGCCTCCATATGCAGACTGCATTTAAAACACTACTGTATTGGTTATGATATTTTTCATCATATTGGCAAGAGCCTCGCTAATGAGTCATTTATCTACGAAACATGTGTTTCTAAATAACATCTGAGTTAGTATCTTGCAAAAGGAAAACTGAGGGGGAATGAAAATGACCCTTATTATACCCCCGCAACAAAGTAGGGGGGGGGGGGTATACTGGAATCACCCTGTCTGGATGTCTGTCTGTCGTCCGCAGTAACAGTGTTTATGGTTATTGCAAAAAAAGTATTTGTGTCTAGTTTGTATCGTAAGTCTACTATGAATATAGTGTCTCGGACATTAATCAGTCCCCTATTTGGGGAGCCCTTAAATATTTGATCAGTCGGGTCTGTCTATCACTGAAGTATTTTTACGAACATGCATGTTTTTCATCAAAATTGGTACACTTTTGAATACTTATATTAAAAAAAATATTTTCAGGTATCAGAGATACTACAGTAAGACTGGTATTCATCNTTTGAAGATATTTTTTTCACCCAATACTCGTTTCATATTACTTTAATATATGATATTGACCTGGTCGTATGACTTTATACACAACATCAAACAATTCGCACTAGCGTCCTCAGTAAGGAACATTGCTGTCACATTAACCCATCAAAATATCTACTTCATAGCTATTGGCTGATTTTTTCTGTTGTTCCTTTTTTGTGATTATTTGTTAATTTTGAAAATCTTACCAAAACCGCATTTTTGTATACAAATAGAAATTTTGCAATGTTGAAATATATATGATAATAATAATTAAATGCTTCTTTTGAAAATGATAAATATAAAAAAAAAAATATTAATACGTTTAGCCAAGATTCGACATCAAATATATATTTTTACACCATCAACAAAGCATATTACAGAAACTTAAAAAAAAATTAGTATCTTACTTTAATTTAAACTTCATTTAATGCAAAACTAAAACAGTGAGATTGAGCAAACGTTCCACGCTAGGGCCGAATGCGAGGTATTGCAAAGAGAGGCACCAGGAGATAAAAGGTTAGTAGGGAGTAGAAAGAAAATATAAGAATTTCTGATATTGCAATGCATGCAGCAGATTTTGTAATCGATGTTGTGTCCCTAAGTAGGGCACAAACATACTTCCCTATTTCTGACGGGGATCCTTACATCTGTTAGCTCTAACAGTACGCAGTGGGTAAAAATAGATGTGAGTTTATTCTTAATGCGAGACCTACAGGGGTGGCAAAGCAAATGGACAGTGTCCTTTAGTCGTAAATTGTTTATTTCGTTTAGCAATAATTGCTTTCTAAGGTACGAAAACACGTTCGTTTTAGGTTGAAAGCCGTTATAATACTTATGTAATTGTGTAACATCATTTAAACTTGCCATAAAATATCAGATATGGCTCTAGTCTTTTAATGAACCGAACAAAAACTTTCAGAATCAAATACTAGGTTGAGTATACTTGTATGATTCGATGTGACGTTAAAATTCTCTCTGCTTATATATAGTACGGTCTCCAGACTGACACAAGATTCATAGAATATGTAAATTGAAGAAAATCGAACAAAAATTACTTTCCCAATTACATATAAGTATGTATAATTGTGTGAGTACATAAATTTACCATTTCAATTGTCGTGTAGCGATAGAAAAATGGAATAACGCCCTTTTAAAACTTTGGATTTTAAGAATAAACCTGAAGAAACCTGATATTTACATATAACCCTGATATTTAAGACGTTTATTATGCCCAGTTTGTTTAAAACTTGAGCAAAGTCGACATTGATTAGTGCAATTGTTGCTATGGTGATGGATACAATAAAAGGTGAAAAAAAAACTTTTTGATAAAATATACATTAAAAAAGATCATAGAATATTACCATGGAAGAAAAACGAGTCTGTCATTCCTAACCTTACCAAGGTAACGCTGTCCTCTATTTGTCAACTGTAAATGCTTACATAGACATCATCAGCATTCAGAAATGAATGATTATGTATGTAATCATTTAAAAACGCAATAACTGAGATAAGACAGCTCTTCCTATTTGAGACAAAAAAGGGACAGGATCCATACAATTTTCTTCGAGAATACGTTTTCTCTGGATTCAATTTCATTTGCATGTGAAATGACCGCTGGCTGGTTCTAAAAAAAATATGTTTATTTGTTTAACCAATAAAAGGCCTGACATATGCATACAAATATTCCATTGTTACCAGTTCACGGTTCAGAGTTCAATATAAGTTGTAAGCCTTAAAACTTACCATTTTATTACACACTTAAAAAATACTCCAGGCAATCGCCACGTGAAGAAAGAGGTTGAAATTTTCATGGATACAGCTAATCATTTTATGACCGTCAAATATATATTTTCACGAGAAATATCTTCAGAAATGAATAGTATCAGTAATAAAATATCATCCTGTAAATCACAAATGAAGAGCTCCCGAATAAAAGTTCGTAAAATAATATACACGTGAAATAAACAGGCACATTAAAGTTTGGCTTGGTTTTGGTTTTATATTGTTTATGTCCTATTAAAAGCTAAGGTCATTTAAAAAAAGGGTCTCCATATGTGTTGTGTAAGCTTGCGTGTGTGTATGTGTGCCGGAGACAGGGTATATTGATGTGCTTGCCTCCTTGTAATAGCGCGGATCTGATGCCGACTTTATAGTGCTATCTCACTGAAATACCACACCGAAGGCACCCAGCACAGTTTTCCGCCCGGTCACGTTATAGTGACAACGGATGAACAAGTTGTTGCCATTATCCTAAATGCTGCACGTTAAGCAGGGAATAACAACTACCAGTATTAAGGACTTTGGTATGTCCCAGCCTGGGGACAGAGCCCATTGCCTTCTTCACCTGGGCGAACGTTCAACATTAAAGCCAAAAGTGAGGTATTGCCAAGCAAGGCACTAGGAAATAAAAGGTAGTTAGAATTAGAGAGAAATACAAAGATCCCAACTATTGCAATTGGTGCAGCAGATTTATTTTCAACGCTTTTGTGTCCCCTAGTAGATGGCACAAAAGTATAAGTCGCCTCTTACGATACATGCAATGGGTAACAGCAGGTGTATTCTTTTCTCGTTCCCCAAACTGCAGGGGTGCACATCAAAGTACGGTGTTTTGATATCTTACTATTAATGTAACATTTTGGTTTGGGGAAACAAAATTCATCTCATACAAATACTAATATTTGCTCTTTAAAAGAATGCATATAAATCTATTTATAAATGCAAATGGTATATTTTTGAATGCAAACAATTTTATTACATATAGTAAATGCTTGAATTGAAATACAAAATTATAAATATTGCAACGGTTGATAAGTGTGCCGGTTTTTAGTGGCTTTTCCACAATTTCCTAAAATAGTATGCTAAATCGGAAAAACGGCTTCCGGTCCGTATACTGTGTCGATATAAATGCACACTTGCCAGGCCTTCAACACAAAGGGCGGCAATACGCAGATGGAGGTAAGTACATTTATATTGAACATATCATATTGACATTACATGAAGGAAATATCTAACAATTGATTATGAGACGTTGATTTTGACCTTAGATGTGATTGTTTGCATCCTTCATATGTTAAATCATACTTCATTATTAGTTTTTATAAATAATAAAATATAAACGTCGATATTCACAAAGCTGAATGAAATGTAAAAAACACCCTAACCTAATACGGATTTTACCGGTGAAGGGCGAATATTTGACCGAGCGAAACATTCCCGGTATACGGTTGTTTGTTCTCTGATATTTTTTCGACCCTAACCCAGGTCCTAGCTGTCCTCTTCCGTTGGCTTAAATATATTTATTTGACGTTGATATTACGCGTCTATTATTGTAGTTTCCAGTATCGCTGATGACGTTTTAATCAAAAACCAGATGTCGTCTGCACTGATACTTCTCGTGTTAAGCTACGGAGGGGATATAGGGTGCTGCCCATACATACGTCATCACTCTATTCGTTATAACTTCCGACCGATATCAACAAACAGTCATGTCAGAGTTCGATAGGAGCAACTCTAACCAGTTCTTTTATCAGGGTTTTGTATTCAAGGTAAAGGGGACTTCGCGTAATTTTAGAAAACCTTGTTCAGCACGGTAGTAAAATAAGTTTCACAATTATACGACAACGCCTTCAATATGTGTACGTATCCGTGCTTTGCTTAAGGTCAAAGATACTATTTTTATTTTAGAAAAATTAGAAAAGACAATTTAAAAAACAATCATCGGGGTAAAAAAAAAGTCTAATGTTGAAATAGACATTCATATTTATTTGACGGTCTGAGTATGTTTAAGGGGAAGTGTTGAATATTTTTCTCTGGTTTCGGCTAGGACTGTGTGGGCATTGGGGGGAAGTCCGTGAGGTAGGAAGTTGTTTGGTGACGAAACGTGGCGTTTGAATGGCGTATAAAATAGCATGCGCGAAGTTAAACAGTCGAGGCAGCAGTGTGGTTTTGAAGGTGACAGTTTAGTATAAAGGCGGTGCGGTTTGCGTGCATTTTGTAACTTGCACGACCTTTCGGAGTAATGCTTAATGCTGACCATAGGAAGAGAGAACTTCACCAAGCGTGTCTTTGTCTGGTTGCACACAACTGACCAAGTACAATGACATGACAGCACTCCTTCAACCACCTTTGAGTTTTAATTCCTTCATTGTTACATTTACCCGAAATGAGAGTCTGTTCCCACAAGTTTCCAAATTCGATCAATCTACGTTTACTTTGCCCTCTATAACGTGCTTGAACGGATGTTCATCAGTATTCAACCTTATTTTTCAAGTAACAAACGTTTACAATACACTAAGGCTTGTGAGATCTACAATTAGGTATTAGACACTTAGGCTTGTTTGAGTCTATTGGTATGCTTAATGGATATTTATTCCGTCCAAAAGCTTTTTGTCAAAGACCATGTTGCAAATCATTCTAGATGTAAATTGAGTATTACAAATTAAATAAAATGTACCTGGTACGCAAATTATTTTCCAATATTTGAATAAAAAAACGAACAACTTTATGTTGTTGAGACGGCGTTATTTTGGCTTACAGTGTAAAATTAAAAACATATTCATACGAACAATTTGGCAAATTGTTAAATATAAGCCCGATATGTGTGTTACGTTAATCTTAACGATATATTCTATCAATCACCTTGGTGAGATAACGTTCATCTTAACAATATATTATATCAAACACCTTTGTATGTGTTACGTTCATCTTAACAATATATTATAGCAAATACCTTTGTATGTGTTACGTTCATCTTAACAATATATTCTATCTATCACCTTTGTGTGTGTTACGTTCATCTTAACAATATATTCTATCAATCACCTTTGTGTGTGTAACGTTCAGCTTAACAACATATTCTATCAATCACCTATGTGTGTGCTACATTCATCTTAACAATATATTTTATCTATCGCCTTTGTATGTGTTACGTTCATCTTAACAATATATTCTATCTATCACCTTTGTGTGTGTTACGTTCATCTTAACATTATTCTATCTATAACATTTGTGTGTGTAACGTTCAGCTTAACAATATATTCTATCAATCACCTATGTGTGTGCTACATTCATCTTAACAATATATTCTATCTATCGCCTTTGTATGTGTTACGTTCATCTTAACAATATATTCTATCAATCAGATATGTGTGTATTACGTTCATCTTAACAATATATTATATCAATCATCTATGTGTGTATTACGTTCATCTTAACAATATATTCTATCAATCACCTATGTGTGTGTTACGTTCATCTTAACAATATATTATATCAATCATCTATGTTTGTGTCACGTTCATGTTAACAATATATTCTATCAATCAGATATGTGTGTGTTACGTTCATCTTAACAATATATTCTATCAATCAACTTTGTGTGTGTTACGTTCATCTTAACAATACATTCTATCAATCACCTGTGTGTGTTACGTTTATCTTAACAATATATTCTATCAATCATATATGTGTGTTACGTTCATCTTAACAATATATTCTATCATTTTTGTTAGGTTGAGACGTCGAACGGGAATAGGTTGATACAAATAAAGAGGCAGGTATGCAGGTTACTTCAGCGTTTCCAAAATACATACAAATAATTTTAACATTGTTAAAAATACTTCTGCAAACGTGCCTCTGTTTTCTCATGAGTAGTACAAAAGTAAGGATTCTGGCACAGTCCCCCGCCTATATAATCCTTACCACCACCCCGCACCCCCCTGCAGCACCACCCTAACCGGGTGGTACCGTTATGATTACGTCACGGGTGGGTTCTGGCACAGGGTCATTGAGTGCAGTCTCATATATGATCCTTACCACCACCCTGCAGCCCCACCCTAACCGGGTGGTTCCGTTATGATGACGTCACGGGTTTTCCCCGATTGCATCACGTTTAGAAATATCGAAACCGGTTTCAACCGGATCGGTGATGGTTTGGAACCTTCTAGCATATAATACAATAACAACACAAATATACGTGACATTTCTTCATCAACAATATGACACAATAAAGAAGAAATTAGAGAAATCTATGATCCAGGGAGGTGCCAAATGGTATTTATCTATTCAAGTACAATTCTCAAAACCGAAAGGGGACACAGTGGAACGGGTTTCGCCACATTTTCGCGGAAAATGTCAGATAACTCTAAAAATCATCCGACATCGACGAAAGTATGCGGGAATCCATCCGAAAAATTCAAAATTCGTTTACAGATTACCAACGACAGGGAAGTAACTGGACATTGGATAAGGTGATTCAAATCCAGATACACTTTGCAAAATATAAACCCCTGAAAGGATCCAGCTATATTCCCCTACCAATCAAACTGAGGAATAAGCATGGGATAGTCAATGTTCAAAACAAGGACAATCAGATAAGGAAATAAAGTGTATACCTAACAATATGGAGAAGTACATTTCTGTCTCCATAGGATGTATGGATTTCATCGACAGCTTTCAATTTATGGGAACATCACTTGAGAAATTAATCGGAAATTTATCCGAGGAAGGGAAGGACAAATTTGAACACATGACACAACATTTCGGTGAGGAGAAAATCGAGCTCATTTTAAAAAAACAGGTGTATCCCTACGACTACTTTGATGGTCCCCACAGATTTCATGAAACCGGATTACCACCACAGGAAGCGTTTCGTAGTAGTCTAACTGGAGAGGACGTATCAGATGAAAAATACGATCATGCTCTCAAAGTCTGGAAACAATTCGACATACAAAATCTCGGTGAATATTCCGACCTGTATGTCATGACAGATGTCCTGGGTCTTGCTGATGGGTTCGAGAACTTCCGAAATTTATGTCTGGAATCATATGGGCTTGATGCAGCTCATTTTTATACCGCCCCTGGACTGGCATGGCAAGCAGCGCTGAAGATGACTGATGTTAGACTCGAACTGCTTACCGACATCGATCAGCACTTAATTATCGAGAAAGGCTTGCGGGGAGGCATATCGATGATTAGTCATCGGTTTGCTGAAGCTAACAATCCATATGTCCCCGGACATGACAAAACAAAACCAACAGATTACATCACATACTTAGACGCCAATAACTTATATGGCTGGGCCATGTCGCAATTCCTTCCGACTCATGACTTCACCTGGCTTACCGATGCTGAAAAGGACATGCTTGATATCACGACAGTTCCCGATCATGCAACGGATGGATACATAATGGAAGTGGATTTAGAGTATCCTCCAGAACTCCACGACCTACACAACGAATATCCACTGGCCCCAGAACGAGTAGCCGTGGGGAATGAGGAACTGTCTGACTACAGCCAGACCTTATGGCGTAAGCTGGCAGACTGTGAAAAGCCACATGATGATGAAAAACCACATGACTGTTTGGATCATTACAATTCCGCTCAAAAACTCGTTCCTAATCTTAGAAACAAGGACAAATATGTCCTGCATTATAGGAACTTGAAACAATATCTTTCTTTTGGAATGAAGCTCACAAAAGTCCACAGAGTATTTACCTTCAAACAGTCTCCATGGTTGAAAACGTATATTGATTACAACACGGAGAAAAGGAAACAATCTAGAAACAATTTCGAGAAAGACTTCTACAAACTGATGAACAACAGCGTTTTCGGGAAGACTATGGAAAATTTAAGGAAGAGGATGGATGTCAAACTTGTCAACAGTGAGAAGAAGGCCATGAAATTAACATGTAAACCCACATTCCACGAATTCAGGATCTTCACGGAGGATTTGGTCGTCGTCCACATGCTTAAATCTAAATTATATCTGAACCGACCCATTTACGTCGGATTCTCCATCCTGGATATCTCCAAAACATTGATGTATGACTTCCATTACAACTACATCAAAACAAAATTTGGAGAGAGGGCAACCCTCCTTTTTACAGACACTGACTCTCTAGCCTACATCATCAGAACAGAGGACATCTACAAAGACATGCTAGAAGACCGACACTTATTTGACACATCGGAGTATAAGAAAGATCACCCCCTCTACAGTTTGAAAAACAAAAAAGAATTGGGGAAAATGAAGGACGAGACCCACGGAAACGCTATTCATGCCTTTGTGGGACTTAAGGCAAAAATGTGTGAGTACACATATGACGTCAAGGAAGAGAAAGATGGCAAAGAGGTGGAAACTTATGTAGAATCAAAGAAGGCAAAAGGCATTAAAAAATATGTCATCGAAAACCATACACGTTTCAAGCATTACAAGGACTGTCTTTTTCAAAAGAAAGTCGTTATGTCCCAAATGAATCAGATCAGAAGTTATAAGCATCAAATCTACAATATATCCATGACCAAAAGGGGTCTATCACCATTCGACGACAAGAGGTATCTCCTACAAAACGGAATATCGAGTTTGGCCTACGGACACTGGAGGATACCAGAATAGGAGTGTGAACTACCCAAGAAAGGTCCAATGTCAGGACCCCGTTTCATGGGAAAGGGTGTACACGAGATCGCCCGAGTACTACAAGTCGGGTTGTAGATGACACTGAGTAATATAAATGTGTATATTGTCCATTTTAGAGTAGGTTCTTTATTGTACATATGACGTATCTTTGATTTATGTAATAAAATGTTATAAACTAGCAATTGTTTTATTATTTAATTTTAACCACAATGCAATACTTGTGAGACTATAAATAGAGGATTCGTCTGATAACTTCTCATTTCATACCTGGACACCGAAGAGTACACATCGATATGAAGTACCAGTGTCATATTTGCTTGAGTGAATATATCTGGCCACATGATTTAAAACGTCACGTAAGACACAAACATCAGGACGGACAACCTTCATACCATGGAGATGGAGTGACGAAGCAGCAGCAGCAGCAGCAGCAACAACAACAACAACAACAACTACAGCAGCAACCATCATACATGGACATTATGAAGCAGCCGGTATATGCTGTATTTACCCAGCAGCAGCAGCAGCAGGATTTTGTTTTTAAACACCCCTTCACTGCAAATGTATCGGGACCCACGTCTTGTGGAAAGACTTACTTTGTCAAGTTACTGCTACAAAACTGCTTGACCAAAATATCACCTCCTCCGCAAAGGATTGTATGGCTCTACAAACGATGACAGCCCCTCTATGACGTTATCAAGTCAACCGTTATACCAGAGGTTGAATTTATTCAGGGGATACCGCTGGATTTAGACCAGGATTCCTTCCTGAATCCAGGAGTAAGAAACCTTGTCATCTTGGACGATCTGATGTCGACAGCAAGCAAAGACCCTCGCATTAACGAATTGTTTACGGAGGGAAGCCACCACAGAAACATGTCTGTCATTGCCCTCAATCAGAACCTGTACTACAATAAAGACCCCACACAGAGGAGAAATTGTCACTATTTAGTATTGTTCAATAATCCCATCGATAAACAGCAGATCATGACTTTAGCCAGACAGATGTACCCTGAAAACGTTCAACACCTGATAAGACATTTCAAGGAAGCCACCACCAAGCCGTATGGCTATCTTCTCGTCGATTTGAAACCATCAACACCCGAATCATTACGCATGCGCAGTGATGTTTTTTCTGGACAGCCTATAAAAGGGCAGAAAGACCAAACTAAGAATCATTTTGAGGCTGACACTCCAACCGAACGGACGTATTACCACCACCAGCAGCAGCAGCAGCAGTAGCAGCAGCAGCAACAACAACAACATCAAGAGCTGTCCTTAGAAACAGAAGAAATGCCTGCCTGTGACGATTGTGGTATTGTGTTCCAAGACATGCATGATTTACAGAGACACGTGAAAAAATGGTGTTCGGAAAACGACTCCCTTGAAAGAAAACGAGAATCTATAGACGAGGAAGATGAGCCTAAACCAAAAAGGTGGATCGCATATGAAGATATGGAGTCCGACGAGGAAAATAGAGATACTGAAGAACACGAAGCTTTCGATAGCATAATGAATGAAGTCAGGTCTGCAAACGAGGAGAAATGGAATCAAAAGTATGAGAAATACGTAAATGAACATATGTCTGAAGGCGAAGCCCAGGAGAAAGCAAACGAAAGGATGAAATCTAAAGACATGGATCTATTTAACGAAAAATACGGGGCAATTATCCGGTATATTCTTCAGTTACAAGACGGATTGGTTCACGAGAAAGTCATGGAAGATGTCGTAGAATTCGTTGACGATGGTTATGAGGATCGCAAAGCGATGAAGATGGCACTCAAAAAGAACCGTCATGTCTAAGAAGAGATGTGGGATGATGATGATGATGATGATGATGCTGATGATGATGATGAATCCGAAGATGAGGATAATGAAGAGGAAGAGTCTGAGAATTCTGAAGAAGAAAACTTATAAAAGAATCAATACATCAGAACGAACCTCATACAACGTCTAGAACTCGATGAAGAAGGATGTCTGCTTGGGAAGGTTATTTAAGAGAAATTTATTACGATCCTACCAATGCTGGGAGTTTCTCTGGGCCTGATAAATTGTATCGATAAGTGAGAAAAGCTGGAAAATACGTTATCAGTAAATATAAGATAAGAAATGGTTACAGCGACAAGAACCGTACAACCTTCAGCGATCCATCCGACGACCATTTAAACGAAACAGAATCTTGGTAACAGGAATCGATGACCAATGGTCTGCCGATCTCATGGATATGGTCAAGTTTCAGAAAGAAAACAACAGTTATTCCTACGTACTCGTGGTGATAGACGTGTTCTCAAAATTTCTATGGATGAAACCTCTAAAAGACAAAACAGGGGCATCTGTAACAAAGGCTCTTCGTGAGATTCTCAGCGAGGGGAGACAACCTAGCAGGATCCGCACCGATAAAGGCCAAGAGTTTAGATCCAAGGAAGTAAACTCTCTCCTAAATCAATACCACATTCAGCATCTTTATGCCCAAAATGTAAGCAAGGCTGCCGTGTCCGAGCGCGTTATCAAGACCATCAAGTCAAGAATGTATAGATATTTCACGCGCATAAGGAATTATGAATACGTGACAAAACTCCAGACGTTCGCCGACAGCTACAACAAGACGTATCACAGGACCATTGGGACAACTCCAACTTAGGTTAACAAAGATAACGAAACATCTGTCGGGTGGAGAATGTACTGGCCAAAGAAAGAGCCGATCTTACGAAAGACTAAAAAAGTTCGTAAACCGTTCAAGTTTAAAGTAGGGGATAAAGTGCGTTTGTCACATCTCAGGAATCCATTCACACGGGAATACGACGAAAAATGGACGGGGGAGATATTTACCATATCTGAAAAGATACTACGTGGAGGCTTGCCTGTGTACAGAGTCAAAGACTACGATGGCGATGAAATTAAAGGTACTTTCTATCAGTCCGAGATACAGAAAGTTGACGGAAGGGACGACGATATGTGGAAGGTTGAAACCATATTGAAAACTAGAGGAAAAGGCCGTAACAAACAACACTACGTGAAATGGCTAAATTGGCCTAAAAAAAATAATTCCTGGATACGCGCATCAGATTTAACCGATTTGTAGGAGAGTAAACTACCCTAGAAAATGTCAAGACCCCATGTTATTGGAAAGAGCGTACATATAAACATATCGCTTCAGTATCATAACATAGGTGGTAGATGACTTTCATGTAGATGTAAATATTGATATATTGTCCATGATAGAATAGGTAATATTTGTAAGGATGGATGTGGGATGGCTCTCCGACCCACGTTCACTCCATCGCGACGGGGAAAATAAAATGTTGTACGTATATTTGTGTTGTTATTGTATTATATGCTAGAAGGTTCCAAAACATCACCGATCCGGTTGAAACCGGTTTCGATATTTCTAAACGTGATGCAATCGGGGAAAACCCGTGACGTCATCATAACGCAACAACACGGTTAGGGTGGTGCTGCAGGGTGGTGGTAAGGATCATATAGGAGACTGCACTCAATGACCCTGTGCCAGAACCCACCCATGACGTCATCATAACGGTACCACCCGGTTAGGGTGGTGCTGCAGGGTGGTGCGGGGTTGTGGTAAGGATTATATAGGCGGGGGACTGTGCCAGAATCCTTACTTTTGTACTACTCTCATGTACACTCATGTCAGCACACTTACGCCAGTGCCGGGAAAACGTAATTCGCTAAAGCGCATCATATCCGTTGTTAATGGAAGTATGAGTAACGGGCGTAATATGCACTTAAACGTGATAAGCGTATCTTTATCGTTAACACGGCAATTTTGTTCATACTAGATTTCCTACCAAGATTGATTTATCATTCATGCAAATATCATAATGACTGATATTGCAAAGTTTATTTGCCGTATCTGGAAAATTTTAATTATGGTTTCGAAGTTCGAATGCAAAATATAAGGCACGTAAGTTGGAGAAAAAAGTAGGCAAGTCATCAAGAGCAGATTCTGGCAGCGTCAGACAACAAACATATTACAAACATTGTAAACGATGTGATTTCATTTCTTTTGTGCAAAATATTTATCTGAAATGGGCTATCAATACTAATCAAATGCCTTGATTGGAATATAATAGACTATCTCAATTCGTTCCAGGGCTCAGTAATGATGTAATTGAAATTCTGAGAATGGATGTTCTGAATTCATTTGAAAAGTTGTTATCGTTATGGTACATTTTCTCGATAACAAATTGCTTGTGAGAAGATGTTGTAGTTCTAGTTTGTATGTTTTCTTAACTTGCTCTTTGCCTTTTCATAACATTCATCAAAGGCAAGTAAGGATAAGGATGGTCGGGTGGTGCAGTGGATAGCGCACTTGCCTTTCACCAAGGCAGCCGTGGTTCAATTCCCCGATCAGACGTGAAAAGATATGAGGTCACCTGCCTGAGAACGTGGGTTTCCTCTTGGTACTCCGTTTTCCTCCCACATTTAGACCGTCCGCGCACTAACATCCGGGCTAACAAGAGTGATTATTATAAGTTAAATAACTTGTTTCATAATTGTTGCAAAACGAATAAAGTTTATATCTTTTATAGGGAAACAAATACGACCTTCAACTGACCTGATATCTGCCTCGTAGTCTGACCTGGTTTGCTGAATTGTTGTTTGGTTTTGCAACAACAAAAAAAGAATTATACGTTAATATGTATAGCTGTTAACGTCATTACTTCGGCGCACTCCAATATTAGCGTTTTGCCGATTTTAATCAGATTAGCGCATTGATGAATTGGCGCGTACAAAAAATAGGCAATAGATTATAAAATACAGGAACTCGATTGGCGCAGTCATAATTTAGCAAAACTAAACAAACAAAAAAAACGCTCAAATAAGACTATCGCAAAATTATGTACGTTTTCAGTAGTTAATCAATTATTATTACTTATTAATGATTCAAAGAAAATGGAAGACGACCTGAGGCAGACTTTAGTAAGAGGGCTGACATCAAGTCCCAAGTACATTCCTACCTGGTACAACTACGATGACGTCGGCTCGGAACTTCAGCAGCAATGTACCACAGACATTCCGGATTACTATTTATGCACGAGTGATAGATATCTATTACAACACAGAATACAGGTTGGTACTTTGATAGTGGGAACCACATATAACACTAACTGCTGGGACAGGGGCATACATAGAAAAAGATAACATGTTTATTAGAAAACATAATATAGAAACGTGAAACATAATTATATCGATATCGAGTTGGTAACGTTTTACTCAGGTTTATGCGAAACCTTAAATTGCGTATTTTTTTTGTCGTTGAAATCGACTATCGGGCTTTGTTTGCATGAAAACAGTTATTTGCATGCACTTGGTAATGTATTGTTTATTACCTTTTAAGGACATCGTCCCGCGGATGCCATACGACGTGGCTTTAGTTGATCTCGGAAGCGGAAATTGCTCCAAAACGAGGCTTGTTATAAATGAGTTACTGACAAGGCAGAACACACTTACATTTTATCCTCTTGATATTTCTGAAGGTATTTTAACAGGACAAATATATATTCTTGGATATCTGTGTTAAGCCGCTTTTTAATGGACGACATACAACTTTTGATTACGCTTACTATGGTGGTTCTCTGTTAGACATTTGACTTTGACCTACATGGAGGGTATAGCGATGATGACAAAGACGCCCACCCTTCCTGTTAATTTGGTATAATCATACTTTTACTTTATAATGATCTCCGTTTAAATATTTCCTTTGTTTCGAATTATTTTCTTTTTCTAAAATTCATCAATTTTGGATTCAAATTACGGTTTTGTTTCACTTCAGTCTTGTTATCTTTCATTTTATACCTTTAAATACTTTGCAGAGTTTCTGTTAAAGTCAGTAAAGGATTTATCTGAGGAATACGACGACTCACTTGTGATCACACCAATAGCTGCAGACTATGTACAAGGAATAGAGCAACTAAAGTAAGTCATGACAAAGACAGAAGGGACATTCTCAGAATGGCATATCAGAGAAAAGACATTATTAATAAAGCACACTTTTCTATACGGCCAAAACTATATTTCAATAAGACTAAATCATTGTTACTCAAGTCTCTGTCTTTTTTTCAATTAACTCATTCACCCCCGAACTCTCTTAATGACCTATTCCAACCTTTGAATTGGAAGGGTTCAAATGTGTCTTCAGGGGTGAATGAGTTAAATACATCTAATCTTGGTCAGTTGTAGGCAGTACCAATTTAGGTGCAAAACGTAACAAACTACTGTATACCAAGAAATTTACGCCCCCGCCCTCAGTCCCTCAGTCTTCCGCCCTCAGCCTTCCGCCCTCAACCTCTCAGCCTTCCGCCCTCAGCCTCTCAGCCTTCCGCCCTCAGCCCCTCAGCCTTCCGCCCCCAGCCCCTCAGCCTTCCGCCCCCAGCCCCCAGCATTCCGCCCCCAGCCCTCAGCCTTCCGCCCTCAGCAAAAAGGCGAATTTATCGCGACATGGCATATGCATACACACAGCATACCATATATAGTATGTACGGATGAAATTAACACTAGGTGGAAATGGATTTTACCGGTGAAGGTGAATGTTTGACCGGGTGAGGGGTTTCCTGCTGAGCTGTATCTCCTAAAGTTTTACAGAGCTATCGAATTAAATCTTATCTATCGGTTCTTTGTTTATTAACAATAACCAAGATATATAACTGGAGAAATTCAAAGGAAAACACTCAAAGTCAGTCGTTACGGAAAGATAACACAGAGAGAAGACAAAAAACACCAGAGTTAAACCTGCTTGTTCAAAAGGATATTTATTCAAGGAATTACAAGAGCTATATAAAATAGAACGAATTTGATTAAATAAAGATTATACTATAAAGCTGCCGTATATTTATGGCTCGTACTCAAACTATCAGTAGAAATTTTCTTTTTATATCTTATTTAATCATCATTCTTTAAAACTGGATTTTTTCTTCCTAGCGAAAAACTTAAACACACATTGTTAGCTCTCATCTGCATCTGAAGGAGAATTCAAACAGGCCTACTATCACAGTACACTAAGAGGATTTAATATAAGGTCCAAGCTTGTTTTCTGATCCCTGTGTAATTATATGTATGTTATTAACATGTTTGAATATTGAATAAATTCTGTTTATACTAACAGTGTTTCTATTTGCATCAAAACATACGTTGGGTGAATGGGTGAATTCAGCTGTTGTTATATCATCTGTTACAGACAGATAGAAGGGCCCAAGATGATCATGTGGTTTGACAGCATTATAAACCTATCGTATGAAGACCAGGTTAACACTCTCAATCTGATATCTACAATGATGACAGGTAAGTTATTATATTTTACCTGTGGTTCAATAGTAGTCTAATTAAAAAAAGTTCTTTGTTCCATTTCAGGCTAAAGTGTGTTTCGGTATCGATTTCATTCTATATTCTATCGAACAAATAACTTTTTGATGAAGTTTGGCAGTCTTGTTCCTATTCAAACACCTAATTAGATCTGTTGTTTACAAATACTGCTTCAATAAAATATAAAAAAAAATGAAAACATTTACTCATTTGAAATAAAAACCTGCAATTGTGCAAGTTATTCAATCGCAGTTTGATGTGTTGTTTTCCAGACAAATGTCGACTGGTGTTCAGTGCTGACGTCACACTAGACAAAGAGGCTGTCCTGAGTGCTTACGATGACGATGCAGGTATTTTGATGTGCAGATTTCTATGGTAGATGCAATTATCATAAAACAATAAGCAACGCGTTTTCGTCTTTAGTGTTCAAAGTAAGGACATGTCCTCACGCATTCATTTCTAACTATTGCACAGCTTTATATAACCAGTAAAATGGGTTTGTATGAAAAGAGTTGCTCCACGTGCAATGCAAGGAATATTGATGTTACGGGATACCAAAATTAGATCCGATTCAGGCTAATATGTATATAATATGTTCATGTTACTCTTATGGTTTATAAAGCTTGATAAAAGGCTAGTTTCATAATTGTGTGTTCTATACATTCTGTGTTAATTGGACAGGTATAATGCAGAGATTCATCAGCTATGCCATGACAAGATTGAACAAAGAGACAGGCAGTGAAGTCGACCTGGCCAAGTTCACGTACGAGGTAGATTTTATATCTAACAATGAGCCTCAGTCGATGAGCTACGTGAGGGCCTACATCCGGGCTAATGACGTCATCCGGTGCCCGATACGTAAGTACATGTGCACTTGCATATAGGTTGTATGTACTTACAGACAATAGGGCCAATACATGATTATAAGTATAGTGATGAGTATATATTCCCTATTGGGTTATCTCCGATGAACAGGGAAAAAAAGCTTTGCATAAACTGATTATAAATATAAACAGAATTCTCTATGTAAAGGAAAACACAATAATCTTAAATAAATACCTACAAGAGAGGTCATTGCAAATAACATGTAATTAATCATGTAAAACGTTTTATTTAACTATGAAAAAAATAATTTTGAATGTTAAATCATTTAATAAATCATTTAAAGCATTTGATGAAATCATGAATGAAATTATTACGAATATTTAATCATGAATGAAATTATTACGAATATTACATCATGAATGAAATTATTACGAATATTAAATCATGAATGATATTATTACGAATGTTAAATTATAAATGAAATTATCAAAAATATTAAATCATAATTGAAATTATTACGAATATTAAATTACGAATGAAATTATTACGAATATCACGGCTTTAACACGATAATTTTATTTTCCAGCTGGACTCGGCATAGATCTAACGATGGATAAAGGAGAATGTCTTTATTTTCACGAAGGCCCTGGGTTCAGCTGTAAATACTCACTGGAACAGCTATGTACCATTGTGGAGAAAGCTGGACTCTGCTTGGCCGAATCCGTGTCTGATGGACAGCGTCACGCAGCTTTCTGTGTCTGTACCACTGTATCAACAATTCCGCGTATATAGATATCTCTACATTGACTATCCAAGGGAATTAACTATATTCCGGATATTATATCCTTTTCCTTTTTGGTTTTAATAGTTGTTTTTTTTACCTTATTCCGGATAAGTTGTCCGGTACTATTATTATAATTGAGTTGACGGGAGAAAATAAAATGGACACACCACGTCCACGCTGTTGAGTTGGTTAGTTTATTCTGTACGACTATGTAACGAGTACCACGTTATTACAACGGATATCTGGACGGAAAACCAACATCACTTGGTGATTCAGATTTCCCTGACCGATAGAGGTTCATCTTCCAATAAATATGTCGTAAGGGCTACTTTGTATTTCATGAAATCAATACGTGCATTATATTGAAAAATATCAAAAAGGCATTCTAACTATAGTCATATTATATTTTAAAATAAAAGTAAAAAAGGTTGTTTAGTTCCGAGTCATTTTTTATTTTTCTAAAAAGAGACAAAAATATATAAGAATTATACGATTATAAAACAGTATATGCCCAAATAAGCAAGGCAAACTAATACGAGGCAACCCATAGGCCTAGTCCCCAACCGGTAATAATTTCTTTATTTACCAAGCTGTTGGCTATCTCGGGACCAAACTACTGTAGATCTTGATACAGAAAAGTGCAAATTTGTCCAATGATTGCCATTGATCAGACATCAAAAGAAAGATCACAGTTACGTAAATTCTGTCACCAAAGGTTTTACCTGCATACCTATTTGGATAATTCTGGAGAAATAGATTGTGGATAAGCCCGGGACAAACTTTTTTCAATTGTTGAAGCATTGGTCACAGCAACCTACTTCTCGTACTCTGTAATCTGTCATTCCTAGATGTACTTGCATACCTAATCTGGTCACTCCAGGTGAAATGGTGTAAAAGATATGCCCCGGGCAACATTTTCGAACATTGAGGTCAAAGTATAAGTCACCTCGACCTCCTTCTTGTACTTCGCAATATCCTTAGGCATAATTGTACTCCAAATCTGGTAACTTCAATGAACTAATATAGACAAGAGGCCCAAGAGGGCCTGTATCGCTCACCTGAATATTTAAGCAGTCATAGCAAAATATTCTCATTAAATATTATATTGAACTAAAAATATTTCCCTCACAAACTTTGTTGGCTCCATCTGTTGAAACTACCAGCAAAATATTATTATAAGATTCTATGCTTTTTGATTCTTCTTCAGAAGTTGCTGACATATTTTTCCCTGTGATCTTGTAAGTAGGTCAATGTCATTTTCCTTCTCAAATTGGTTAGCTCTATTCCAAAAAGCTACCAGCCAAATCTTATGAATCCATTCCTTTTAGTTCTCAAGAACAAATCCATTAAAATGTTGTTGACCTCTGTGACCTCTAAAGTAGGTTGAGGTCATTTTCATTTGCAAACTTTGGTGAGCTCTATCCCGGGAAGTCACCAGCCAAATATTATAATTTTATGCCTTTTAATTCTTCAGAAGAAGCTGTTTGAACTGTTTGACATATTTGAACGCTGTGACCTTGAAAGTAGGTCAAGGTCATTTTCATTCGCAAACTTTGTTTGGCTCTTTCCCAGGAAGCCACCTGCCAAATATTAAGATTTTATAACTACCAGTTCTTCAGAAGAAGTCGTTTAAAGTGTT